GACACAAACAGATGAGTTTATATTTTCACATTGTTATCCTCACTATTTATCTTCATGAAGAGCATTCAATAAAAAAAATAAAAGTTAATAAAAAATGGACTTGATTTAGTTTGTTTGTTACAAGATTTGTGCTACAAACACCAGAGGATGTAGTTTCTGCCCTCTTGTGGCCACAGGTTGAAACTACATCTAACAAAGTGTTTCCCAATGTAAAATAAGCAGAAGACAAAAATAACTAAAGACACTATGGTTAAATATAAAATAAAAAAATAAAAAAACTAAAGACACTATGGTTAAATATAAAATCAAAAAAAAAAATTAACACAACGTGATAAAGAAGCTATAATGAAAACAAACAAACCATATATCTGTCCCACTTTATATCAGATGTAGTTTCAGCCTTTAAAAATGGTTTAAAATGGACTCATATTTTTAAAATGTATTTTGTAAATCAAAGCAGTTGCAGATTATGTACAAATGTTAATACAGTGATGAAAAAATAGTATTTGATGCCTGTAAAACTGCACCAAAACCGCCCTTTGACAYATCTTCAGGAGGCTGTGACAAATGAAAAAAAAAAAAAAGATAACAGATGAAACATGAAATTAAACAATGAAAATTACAGGTCTAATAGACATTATTTTTATTTCTGTCGAATCAATCAAATCAACAACTTAATTAAAGACACAAATAGGTCCAAACGAAAAAGGATAAAAATAACAGTTCTGACATTTCCAGCAAACTGTTTCTGTAGTTACATGATGTGACCACAGGAGGGCGGTAAAACTTTTAACCTTCACTGCTTTCAGAAGTTGTGGATCTGTTTTCTGYTTTAACAGCATTAAACATTTTATTTGATAACTTTTATATCGTTTCATGGCTYTAAACTATTCAGAAAATAAAAAAATAAAAGAAATGTGATGAAAATAGACTTGCTTCTGTAACTCCGTGGGTAAAAAAAAAACCACAGAAGAAGAAACGTTTGGCGGAAGTAAGCAAAGAGGCTAACACCGTTAGTATAGTTACATGTGATAAACTAAAATAGCTTGCTTTCTTGTGCAGCCGCAACAATTTTAATCATGTTTTATTGTGAAAATTATTTATCTTTCTTCATTTACTTGATTTAGAAAAAAGCTTTTTAGCAATCGAAGACGAACCTCTCAGCGTCACACCACCGGAAGTAAATAAAGAGGCGTTAGCATCGTTAGCTTTGTGTGTTCGGTGGTGGTTTGTGAGTCGGTTTGTGTGTGTGAGGTGAATGTTTGAGTGTGTGCAGTAACAATG